CAAACTCTTAGTTTTAAGTGGGCACTGCAAAAATGGTCATCAGTTGTTCATCTTCTCATTAATCAGTAGTCTCTGAAGTGGTTTTTTCAGAATTTGGATGGGGCATTGAGAGATATCATCTTTCATTATAGACATTTTGTTGGGTTTCATAAACTCTTTGATCTTGATTAGATGTGCCTAAGACACTTCATATTTAAAGCTGCAGAGTTTATTTGAGCCTGACAGCGGGGGGCTCCATGCCTCAGGACATACAAAATAAAGTTAGTTCTGCTGAGAACGCACATTGACTCTAAACTCACAAAGTGAAAAGAGCACATTAGGACGTTTGGGGCCTTTTTTTCATATTTTACTGTTTCAATTATTTTCTTTTTAATTAAAAGAAATCTAATGTATATTTTCAAACTCAATAAAGTACAATTATAAAAAGTAACTTAATATTTATGAAATGCTTGTCTACTTGGCTCATGTGTGCCGTAAGTTTACAGAAACTGTCTTGCTCAGTTCCTACAACAAAACCTATAAACTGAATATTTTCCTCCCCTATTTTTGCAAAATGACTGTGCCTCTCCTTACGATGCATGTTAATTAGGCCAGGTGTGCACTATTCTCCTGCCCTGTGACAACCTAGTTTCCATAATTAAAAAGCTTGTGTTCATAGCTTGATAAATGAGCAGTGGTTATTTTTATGCATGCAAAGCAAACGGTTACTCTATCTATGAAAGCAGTTACGGTTACAGTTAGCTCTGACATACCTTTGATGTATAGATATACCACACATTTCACTTTGTTTTAAAAATGTCACTGGTGCGCTCAAAATAGAAATGGATCCAAGGGCAAAAATATAATTATATTATAATAAAATAGATCTCCCGTTGGCAGAATTGTGTCAACCTTTCATGTGATTGGCTGCTGGATTGTAATCGGCTTTAACTGGTTGCTGTCTTTGTCTGGCACTCGTTGTTCCTGGATTAAATGTGGCACACATCAGCCAAACACTATCACTAGCCTAGTTTAGAGTTAAATGTTTCAGAGTCTGCCTGCTCAATGGCTGGATTTTAAGATACTTTCAGACTTTTCTTCATAAGAATGCTTAAAAAAACGATGGCCTTCTGCAGGTCTTTCTGTTTGACAGCTGGTTACAATAATGATTTGTGACTTGAATTTGAGATAATGGTAGAAAAAAGGGCAAAAACTCCCTTGGAAAGCTTTCTGAATGTCTAGAGACTTGCCTGTCTCCCCAAATCATACAGCAGTTAGCATTCTCGTGGTTTTTGTTTGAAAGGCTGTTGAGTCAAGATTTAGGAACGGGATAGACTGCTCTGAATTCAAATGCATTGTTTGTCAGAAAATGTAAGCGCCATTGTGAATTGCATCGTCAGCCTTAAAATGTGATCATGCAAAGAACATCAAATGGCTCAGTGCTGTAAGGATTTAAAAAGAAAAAGTTCTGTCAAACTTCTTGGCTCTTCCTTTGTCTGCTGTGTATCGATAAAAAGCTCATGGGTCGTTAAACAGTCATAGCTTTCTGAATCCACTCCTCATTGTCTCAACCCTCACCACTCTAAGTTCATTTTTAAACTTTGCTTGAACAGACTTCTCTCTGTCTTAGTTGTGATGTTTCCACTGCTCGTCACACTTTCCCTTTTGTTGTGTTTAGCAACCGTTGAGTTCCGATCCTCGATGGACGGTGGAATCTGCACTCAGGAGTCCTCAATTAAGTCATCCATGGTTCTACCCTCCAATAAATCTTTCACCTACTCGAATGACCTTCAGGATAAACCCGCCAAGCCGCCGCTGTACCACAAAAAGCCTCCTGCTCTCCCTCCAAAGCCTTTCTCTAGAATCCCGAAACATAGCACAGGTCAGTATTCTTACTTAATTTCCCTTCTAGTATTTGTTGCACCCGACTTGAAGTATTACTATATATTATTGTACTTGTTTTGACAAATGAGCCCCGCCTTCTGTTGCTTCAAACCCTACCTGCGTTGCCACACATGGAGCACAGGATTATAGTAGTCTCATTAAATTCCCCTGTGGTCAGGTCAGATGGGCTGTCTCTGTCATTGCCAAACTGTCAGTCAGAGTGAAGTAGCATTACCCTGGCCTAATTCCTGCTGCTCTGCCCTGAAGTCTAAGCCATGTCTGATCGACCATGAGCTCTGTTTATCTGTCTGCAACGACAAAGTGTAGTGAAAGTCATATAACACCAGTTAACCCAGTATAAAAGTTAAAGGTCCCCTATTATACTGTTTTTCATCAATATATTATAGGTCTCGCATATGTACAAAACATGTCTCTGAAGTGTTTGGCTCGAAACACCTAACAGATCGTGCATTGTAGCATCCCATAAACCCTTCTGTTTCAGCCCTGTTTCAAAAGTGCTGATTCTGTGTCTGTCTGTTTAGATGACAATAAGGAGCCACTCCCCACGCCCCTCTGAGAGATATTTGGTTAAAAAGAACACAATGGTGCTCTAAGAGGAGATTCAGGTGATAAGGTGGGGGGGGTTACCTTGGTTGGTTATTGGCTAATGGTTAGACAAGCCAAAAAATCGTTATGACATCATAAAGTGGCCAAAATCTGATCAGCTCATTTTCAGACAGGTTTTTATATAAATGGATCAGGACAAAAAGAGAGAGAAACTTTGTTCCTGAAACTTTCAGAATCTCTTCACCCAGAGGGGACACATGTTTATGTATAAAAGACATGAAAAAGTGGATTTTACATAATAGGTGACCTTTTAATTAATGATTCTGTCCGTCCTGAATTTTTTTTTTTTTGTCTTTATAGATTCTTGCCAGCCAATGAAGTTGACCTGTATGCGTGGGGGAAAGCACTCTCCACCCCTGCCTCCAAAGAAAGTGATGATATGTGTGCCTCAAGGGGGGATGGACTCCAACTCCCCGTCTCCGTCGCCCAATCCCCTCTGCTCTATGTCCCAAAAGTGCGGCCCCCCCCAGGGCATGCCCCACCACCACGGGCCCTTGCTGCCCTCTCAGCTGGCGGCTCTCTCCAGTCTTCATCAGAGCCGGGGTCACCCGTTTCGGCTTCAGTACGGCAGCTTGCACGCGCCCAGCCGGATCATCGAGGAGCTCAATAAAACCCTGGCACTCTCCATGCAGAGGTTTGAAAGGTTAGTAGACGGCAGTGCTCGGGACATTAAATCTGATTGTGCTGCAGGAGGGAGGGATTATGGATCAGCATCTATTTGTGTTTCAGTCTGTACCTCCTAGATAACATCTGGTTTGAAGTTTGACACAACTCTGTTTAATACATGCAATGTTTCATGCTGGAATTTTAAATATACTCCAAATGGAAGTAGCTTCCTACTGATTGGCCATAGGGGTGCCGCTCACAACACGTTTCCTTTTTCATAAATAATAATTTTCCTTCATTTGATTAAGACTGTGGATAATTAATCTCTTCTTTAGTAAAAGCTGTCACCAAAGCAGCACTAATCAGACTAATTACTGAAAAAACATTATAATTAGCCTGAGTGTCCTGTTTATTTGGTTTATTTTTGTGTCGACTTGGCCGCTACTCTCAAATACATCCTGGTGTTATTGAGGTCGCGTCCTGCAATGTAGAGCTGGTGTACTGGCCTCACAGGGCAGCGTGGCCTATTTTTGAAGTAAATGTGTGTATGTGTGGGCACCGGCTCATGGAGTAGGCGTCCCTCCAGCAGTGGGCCTGACATAACATGACCAGCTGCTCTTTACAAAACTGTATTTCTTCTTGTTTGGAGAAAGGGACATGGTAGCGGATTGGACATGATGTAATCTTTTACATTAGGATTTCTTTTTCTCCAACGCCATCTGGGCAGGAATAAGGAAGTAATGGTCTCGACATTGCTCACAATTAGTCTAAAAGCTAGAAAATGGTTTACTTAATAATGGCTACTTCATAAGTAGCTCCAACTAGATTTCGCCTTATCAATCTGTCAAATATGCAACCTGTTGGCACTTGATGGCTCCTGCTCGTCACCCTTGTTTTTAAATATACAAATTGTATAATCAGTTTTCTGTGTAGTTCGGGGGATTGCATGGCATTGCGTAGGACTGCAGAGAATTGTACTTGGTCTGTATTCAGGCTCTTTGTACTCCAGTTTCATTCAGATGGAGTTATACATATCCTCTCTCTATATACTTGGATTAAAAACCCACTAAACTATCATGGACCAGAAGCCCTTTTATTGTCTTAAATCACTTTGTTTCCCGGATTGAGAAAGTTTGTGAGGGATATTGTTTCAATAAGGCTATATATCACAAACCATATTGTAAAAGACAACATTGAGCTAAGCTTGATGTAGGACGTTTCACGTGTGAACTGGATTTTCCTGCACTGTTGAGGGGATGGGCAGGTTCATCCTAATGGCAGGGCCAAATGTCATGGTCATAAGTTTGATCCATTATTTGAACGCCCATAAACACCACCTCCCTTTCTCTCCACCAGCTCTGCATTGCACGGCGTTGGTCATTGTGTTCCCCTGGACCGGAGAGAAGTGCCGTCTGTGATCATCGACTACGAGGATGACAAGGAGAACATGCCCAACGAGTGTGACTATGAAGATCTGCCTAGCATGTATAAGGACGAGGACGATGAGGAGGATGATGATGAGGATGACGACGAAGATGACGACACAATATTTACAAGTGAGGGGCATCAATTACCATGAGTGTTATGTTAAATGTAATTGCGTTCATGAGTTCATAGCAAAACACTTAAGATATAAAGAGGGTCATTACATTTGACTATGACTCAGTATTGGTTTATTTATGGTAAGGATAGCTCATGTTTACATATAAGATGCCATATTTGCCTGAATAATCCTGATGGACAGTACTGCTAGCTTCACCTCAAGGTTTCTGGATCTCAGATGTTTGACCTTCAAAGGAGAGCCAACATAAGGTTCACAGAAGTGTATCCTGCTGTCCCTCATGGAAACACTTTCAACCTCTCAGCAAAACCACTGAAGTGTGCAAGCTGTGACCTTGTTTTCACATGTTGGAGTTTTTAAAGGTTGCGATCGGCCATGTGTGAGGGATTTGTTTAATATGCCAAACCATGACTTAAATGGGTATTGGGAATATGAGTTACACTTAAAGGTACAGGACACTTTGTAAAGTAATATTCTAATCAAACATTTCTTGTATTGTACAAAGCATCTGAAAGTACCCATGAAATAATCAGTCATATCCACATACTGTAGTTTAGACCACGCTCAGAGTGGAGCAGTATTCCATATTTGTAGTCTTTGCAAACGTTTTACAAAATGTAGAGAAACAGCACATTCGAAAACGGGAAGAGAGCAGTTTGGTTAATGAGGCCCCAGATTTCATTTTGTTCCCATGCAGCTTTACTCTTGTTTAACCATGGTGTTTGGGTTTAGGTTCCCTGGCTCAGAAGGTGCTGAGGAAAGACTCTTTGGCCATCAAGCTGAGTAACCGTCCTTCAAAAAGAGAGCTTGAGGAGAAAAACATCCTGCCCATGCAGACAGACGAGGAAAGACTAGAGTCTAGGCAGCAGATAGGCACCAAACTCAAAAGGTGAGTGCACAGATGCATCTTTAAACATGTACACAAACATGCCTAATTTATGTGTCAGGTATTTTCGGTGAAACCTGATTGATGTTGCTGTAGCAAACTCAACGATTATTTCTAGAAAAAGCACTGACACTACTCAACCAAACGGAGCATTTTGTCTTTCTCTGTGCCGTCGATGGCCCAATATCCTGGCTGTTGGAACTGTGACTCCCAAGGCCGTTACAAATGCGGGCCTTTTTTCTTTTGAAATGCTTTTATATCCTTTCATTATTTCCCTTCCCAACATTCGATAAGGATAAATGCTTTATCTTGTTAAAATGAGGCTCTGAAAATGGAGCTGACCTAATTTCAGCACTACATCACCCCCCCTCTCTTTTTTCTTCTTGTCATCTCTCTTGCTCGCTCTCACTCTCTCTACTAATCTTTTTTCTTCCTGACTGACTACCTCCCTCGCTAACTGAATCACCACGGTGATGCATGTGCCAAACTATCTCCACCCGACTCCTCCACACAGCAGCACCACGCAAGCCACTTCGTACCAGCAGTTTACACACACACACTAGCCTGCTGCAGTGTGTACAGATCACAGGATTTTGTATACATATGTTGAGATCATAAATCTAGTAATTGAACAGATCAAACAACATAATGTTTTTCCCAAATGGATCGCACGGCTCATTTGATTACACTCTACTCTTTGAACACTTGCCTCTCTGAATGAAGGGGATGTAATGATGTGTCGAGAGAGGAAAAGACCACCAAGCGCTTGGGTAAAAAATGAAAGCCGGATAGTATAATAAGATATGAAATGTGGGAAATATTGTCGCAAGTGAGGGATGGCATATTATCTAAAGACATTGGCACACAACTCTCTATTCCCCACTGTGATTGGAACACAGCGCTTGTTCCCAGAAGGCCTGCCTGCTTAGTGGTCCTGTTCCCAAAAAGCTCAGTCACAGTGTCCTTTGCACCGTGTCATCTGATGCACAATCCCTAATTTCATGCTTTTTGCTAACGGCATTGTGTCCTGTAATGTTGTTGCTTGTGCCAGACCACTCAGAATTGATTATGATAATGCTATTCTGGGACGCTCTGACCTCAACTTATTTGTATTGACCTGATTCACTTGGAAAACCCTGGTGACGTAAAACTGAATGAAAGAATTGCAACTATTATCCTTGAGAAAGTGAGCTAGTGCATTATTAGCTAATAGACGGTGGTTGCTTTTATAGGTTCTTTATGTAATAATTAGTTTATGTCTGTTAATGGATGGATTTGACATTTGGGAAATATTTTCATTGGCTTTCTTTCTGAGACTTTGATGACGAGATCGATTTGGCTGTCGTCAGATAAATGTGAAGCTACACCCGGGAGAGGCTTAGCTTAGCATAAATACTTGAAAAAGGGGTAGACGGCTAGTTAAAACGTTCATTTCAAGTAAAGAAATGACAAACGGGTGTTATTATGTGCAAGACTTTCTTGGCTATGCGTATTGATGTCTTGGAATTGTGTCTTCATTGTAAGGCTTTCCAGGAATCAAGCAGAGACTCCAAAAAAGCAAATAGGCACATTTCCAAAAATGTTGAACTATTCCTTTAATATGCTGTGGGTAAAGCAGACTATAATTCTTCCTGGATTGGTCATTACAAGTGACACATTTCTAAAACATTGATGAGTGCAGCTTTAAAGTAATTGCTCTTCATTAGAATCTTCATAAAACCTTGTGTAACTCCTTATATAACGTCATTAGACCCATGACTCTTCTCTTCGTATTGCACCGAACATGCAGGAAGGCTCTTAGTCGATAATGAGGGAGCCTTAAAAAAGAATACCTTTAATTATTTTTGGCAGGAGTATCCATTTCAATGTTTACACGAGCTGCCTATTTGCTGGTGTGATGCTGAGATAATTCTCCGACCATTCAGAGAGGCAGAAAGCTCTAAACAGAGATGTGAGTGTTTTGACTTTTCCCGAATGTTACCAGTAAGGTGAGACGAAATGACACAAAACGAGATGAGACAAGCCGGTCTGAGCACAGAGACTGTCGAGCATACAGTAGCTTGCGGGCCGAGCAGTTTCCGATCGCTGTCAGATCATGAACGATAAGGAGAGAAACATCGATCCAGTGTCTAGCATTAGGTCTGCTCCCGCAGGGTCCTGACACAGTGCTATAATAAGAGTCCCCAGTTGAGAGCACTTGGAGCGACCTTCCAGAAATTGCTTTTGGATATCTTAGTTATTCCCCTCACTTATCAAATGAAAATTGGAGATAGTCTGTGCAAAATGTATCTCTTCTGATGTTGCTAAAACAGTTGGACAGTGTCTGGCCCTTTTGCCCCTGTATCTTTGTCTGTGTAGATGTGTTTAGTAACTTTATTTTGTCTGTCTTAAAATACCTTTCAGTTGTCCAGTGTCATAGAGCCTTATTCGACAAGAGCTGAGTCTTCAGGAATAGCTGGCATTTACCAGTGTTTTTCCTCCCTGCATTAACCACTGCATTATCATGCAGTTATTCCGTTAGAAAAGAGGGATTTGAGATCAGAGCTGACTACATTTTTGGGAAGTGCACCTGTCAAGCTGCCGTGAGGCAAGAGCTTAAGAAAAGATGCAAATCTTTCAACTAAGAGAAAAACAACATTGAACTCTGTTGCTCATAAATAAGTTGTACTGTAAGTCAACTTTGAGGTAATGTTTATTTTATTCAGTTTGGGACTAGCGCATTGCATTTGACTCTAAAGCCCAGGCTTGACAGTTGGAGAAGCCCTCATTTAGTGAGGCAACATGTGAATAAGATAACCTTACGAGGAGCTGCTGTCAAATTGAATACAGGACGAAATGGAGGGAAGAAAGAAATTAAGCGAGCAGCTTCCTCTGAACTACACATATCTCTTTACCACTGCTTTTAATTGAGCTGCTCATATTCGAACTACAGTATGCCTTTTAAACATGTATTGTATACCTGTGGTGTTTATTTTTATTATTTTATTATCTTTGCTTTGTAATGCCTGTTGTAAAATGCCATTATATAATGTGTTTTTACTGTATTTATTCATAAAAAGTCTTTTAATTTGTTTTGTAAAGCACTTTGAATTGTCGCATACAGAAAAGTGCTATATAAATAAACTTGCCTTGCCTTGCCTTGCCTTACACAGAAGAAGAACCAGTGAAGTGTCTGCAAATATATTCTTTTGACAGTTGATGATTACATGATATTTAGTGTAAAGCAGGTTCATTTGCATCTCATATTGATTTAGTTTTGACCCTCTGACCTCTTGCCTGTGAATATGTGCTGACCATTAATATATGTCTCTAACCAGGCGCTTGAGTCAAAGACCCACAGCGGATGAGCTGGAGCAGAGGAACATCCTCAAACGTGAGTGTCTTAATATATCTCTAAGCTGCTGAAGTCACTTCATAACTGTGAACAGTTTTATGAAAAATACCAAAATGTGCAAATTAGCTGACGTTGAATTCACTGTATCCTTCAACACCTGGATACATTTACGGAAGATCTAAAAACTCAGTGTGATCTGAATCTTTCCCTTGTAAAATAAAGATGTTTACTTTTCAATAGGTTAATCACTTGATGAGAAACATGGAACAAAAAGCCTTGGGACAACTTGAGACTATCCAATTTAGTTTGAATCTAATGAGCAACATTATGCAAATGTTGTGTTGGTTTCTCTTCCAGTCATTTCTAAATATTTCTTATACAGTCTACCGTTTGCAGAATAACCTTCATCCCCTCATGTTTTTGCAGCTCGCAATGAGCAAGAGGAAATCGAGGAGAAAAGGGAGATAAAACGAAGGCTGACACGAAAGGTGAGTCTAAAATAGCTCCAAAGGTGCAAAGCCACATTTGATGTTTAAGCTTCTGGAGGGGGTAAATTATGGGCCAGGATAAACAAACACTTTGGCCGTGACTCATGTGTAGCGAGAAGTAAGAATCTAGTCTGTTGGAGCCCCAGCACCGAGCTCTCAGGCCTCCCCTGGAGACGCTGACGTCCTTGTTGTCCTTGGCCCTTCAGCATGTTGGCTGCCAAATCTTTGGACCCCACAGGGAGGTGTTGAGCATGTTCCCATCACTTTAAATTAGATTATAGCACTTTCTGCTCACCTGCAGACATGCTGCTCAAAACTAAAATCTAACAGCTGTCGGAGGACTGTATTGTGTGCATCAGTCAATGATGCTGTGTTAAACAAAATATGTTTTATGCAAAACGCCCAGCCCTGTACTGTACATCAAACTAAATATGAATCTTTAGAACATAAAGCATTTATAGTATGTAAACCAATTTATGAACTTAAATACATTACTAACTTTTGTTTTTAGGACCTAAATACATTATTAGTATTGTCTGAACAAAACTGAATTTTGGAGGCCTTAACACATATTGGGGAGTTAAAATATAAATCTGACAATATATCAATTATTTCGAACCTAACTAGACAATATGGCACTTTGATGGGCATATATTGGTCAATTTGTCTGCTTTGATGTCAGATTAGCGTATTTATGATACGCTAGTCTAGTAAATGTTATTTTGTTTTTGATGCAGATAATTTAAGGTTTTTACAAGCCCATTTTTTTAAATAAATGTCCTAAATACCTGTGCAGTATGATATAACTCATCTACGATACATTTGCTTAAGGAATACTGGATGGGCAAGTCTTCTTTCGTAATCTTTCTATAAGGATTTAAATGAAAATTCTGTGAAGCTGCCTACCGGGACAGTGAATAGAATTACTCTACCTAGTTTTATTTTTGTCCAACTTTTTTTTTCTGCTCTCTTTCCAGCTAAGCCAAAGGCCCACTGTAGAGGAGTTAAGACAGGCCAAAATCCTCATCCGATTCAGTGACTACGTGGACGTGTCCGATGCCCAGGACTACGACAGGCGGGCAGATAAACCCTGGACCCGGCTCACAGCAGCTGACAAGGCCAGTATCACATACACTTAGTAAAATAGAGATAATCTTTGAATAATCTAAAAATCCCTTCTTGCCTGCTTTCAAATGTCTTCAATCGTGCTACCCTTCCCCCCCCATGTGCCTCTTATGACGCAACCCGTAATGCAGGAGAGAAATAATGTTAGCAGGATGTGTTCTTGTGCTTTTGTTACGGCCAGTTCCACCTCAGCTGTTTGTTTTTCCTTTGTGAGTAAACACCCTGGAGCACTCCTGCTGCACACTTCCCAGCAGCCCCTGCGTCTGACTTTTAATGAGCGACGCTTCCTCTTTTGTTTCTGATGATGCACAGTTCTGAACACGGCAGGTCACACCTGAAGAGCTCTTGTGTAAATCACAGGGATTCAGCGTTTTATTATGCAACAACTCCCCTTACATAAGAGAGTAATCGGACAGGCAGAGCCTTAGGACCCCTTAGCCACAGCGAAGCTCTGCTGACTTTTATTTTCCTGCTTCTATCGTCGAGCACAGATTTATACATTGTTTTGTTCTCGTGTCGCAGAAGCATCCTCAAGGCAGAATAGCAGAAGCAATGACATCACTGGTCCGGGTTGCTGTCACAACTAAACATTTTAGAGCGGATGTTGGCTTTTTTATTTGCTGGGAATTTGACTCATCGCCACTTTGAGTATCTCTTTGGCGTCATCTTGTCCTTGGGCAAGACACACAGCCCTCCACCGCTCCAGTGGTGCTTCTTAAAGGCGATGATTCACTGGGTATTGTCCCAAATGTGAATGTGTATAACTATGAATGGGAAACAGCTTTGGTTAGAAGCTCAAAACCGCCCCTGCAAAGAGATGTTTGTCTTTTTTATTTAAAGTGATGTTAACCCTAACGTGCATACATCGGGTCTTAAATAACCCGGGGATTATGTTTGAGCTCCAAGGATTTACAGCCCGTTACACCTAAAACACTGTACAGCTTTGCATTGGTCGAATCTAAAAATGCGATTTCAATGGTTTTGCAATGTGTGTTTTATTCTGTGTATACCACTTCATTATAGTGTTAAATCACTAGATGACAACCCAAGTAACAGCGACACATTGTGGATTAAGTTCAGCTACTTGGATGTAAATTAAGGGCTCTTGTGATGCGAGAGGAGAATTCAGCAGAAATCATTTCAATTCATGTCCTCAAGATGGGAGTAAATGATGCATGAAGTATGCTAAAAGGAAGTAGTCAAGGCTTAGAGGCTGCAGTTTGTGTACTAAGCCTCTGCAGCTTTTCTCAAATGTCCCTCTTGTTTGCCCTCTGCAGGCAGCTATACGAAAGGAACTCAATGATTTCAAGAGCAATGAGATGGAGGTGCACGAGTCAAGTCGCCATTTAACCAGGTAACGGTTAATATTCATTACTATGTGACCATGAAATTAAATGTATACAGCAGCTTTTCACAGTATTGGCTGTGCAATGCAGTGAGTTCTTTCTTAGGTGATGATATTGACACTTTTTGTGCTCTTTTAGGTTTCACCGACCATAGTAGACCATCACTGTCTTGAGCAACGCCATGCCGGCGCTCTCCTCCACTGAGAACCTTAAGTGCTGGACGGTAAAATGGTGCCCGTTTCTACAATAAGGCCATGTCTTCTGAAATGCCTTTTTCAAGACCCACAAAACTGAGTCGGTACTACGCTGCAAGATGCAGACCCCCACTACTCCGTACTACGCTGCAAGATGCAGTCCCCCACTACTCCGTCCACTGTAGTAGCACACAATGACTCCATTTGATTCACATTGCCCCTCTATGGAAAATGCCCGGCTGTCTCTTCACCCTCTCTGCTGCGCTCTCAGGCAGGCGCTCAGTTCTGCGACATTTGGAAAGCGGGTCTCTTTTTGTTTGCAATTGATTGACACTTTCACCATTTTCTGAGGCAACCGTACCTTGGTTCATCAATAACACCAGTGGACTTGTCTCAGTGGAGATGTTATTTGTTCCCTCTTCTTTATTATGCTGTCAGTCTGGATTCCTCCAGCCCTTATGGACAACTCTTTTCGAGGATGCAGGCTGTATTGTTCCGAGCTCACTACATCAGCAGGAGATCCATCTTCACTGCACCTGCTGGGACTCGTAAACAGCTTAGACGAAGAGGAGGGAGAGGGAGGTCCAAAATTTGAATCATGTGCAATATTTTCTTTTTTCTGCTTTTCTTAGGCTTTAGCACCCCCTACAGTCCCCTCGGTGTCATTACTATGTAGTCATGACTTCTGTTCTTCCCTCATATGTGCAATTCTCAATGTACCGACAATGTTGTCATCTAATTGCTAACTGTGAATTTGAGAGTTTGGGCAATGCCCCCACTCTCTCCAAATGTACATTTTGTTTATACTGAAGAAAGAAAGTTACATTTAAAGAAGAATTACGCTTGACCAAGTTTTATTCATGTTACAATCTTATTCATTTATTGTAAAAACTTCAACTGGCAGATATATTCTGGTTCCAGTGAGTGCCACAATTATCCGTTTTTATATTATTTTTTCAGTTTTTAATTGTTTTTGATAGAGGCACCTAAATGATTTAATTTCCATGTTTTACATGTCCTAGATAACCAAGAGTTGGGTGATCACGACATTATGACTTACATTTGTTGTGTTTGAAGCAGTTTTCTTTGTTCATAATGTGCATTGTTATACACTTTACTTTTCTACTCATGTCATTATAAGCTTTTGACAAAGCAATATCCGTTGTTTGTAGAGAAATGGTTAAACTACAGGTGTACTCCCTACCATTTTTTACTGTGCTTATACACTACACCTCACTTCAGGGTTTCACTTTTCTTTTATACTTTACTTGAGGAAGGCTTTATTCAGGACGACCTTTTTCTGCATTTTTCTTCACTTAGTCTCCAAGAAATCTGAATCTTTAACAGCTTTTCAACACATTAGGACACGATTTGATTCAGACTGAAGTCTATAATTGAAAACGATGATGCACTTTCGATTTTAAAACAAGAGTACAGATACAGGTGAACTCATCGATTCAGGATTTTTACATTTTTATTGCAAACTTCTTTGCACTGTTAAGAGTTTGGCTTTACAATGGTCACTGTTTTAAGGTCAGGGCCCAGGTGTGTATACTATTGTTGGTTATCTGATCTGTGACCATATTGTCTCTTCACTTTAAAGCTCTTGTTAACTGATCACTGATCCTACACCAGTATTGAAATGCTCATAAGCTTTATGTATACTGATTTTTTTTTTTTTTACTGTATTACTTTTAAAGTTGCAATATGAAATTCTAGTTTGTCAGATGAAGATAAGTAGTGGAAGTGAAAGGCTGTTGGCCTCCTTCTATAATGTATGTGTCTTCAAAGTCAAATGTGTTTTCCCTTATTTTCAAGGTCTCCATCATTGATGGATAGATGACCCGATAAAACCTGGAAAATGAAAATTGTTTTGCACTTTATGGTTTGATGTAAACAATGGATGATTTTTTTTTGGTTTGGAGCAGTTTATCCTCAGAATCAGGACAAAGGAAATTCTCATGTAACAATTTTTTTTAATCTAAATTGCATTGGGTCATCTTATCTTAGAGACTTTGAAGTATGAGGTATATCCGTGTTAGAACCAGCTTCTGTATGATTCCAGCATCATGTTTTTTTTTCTAAATGTTCCATTTATAGGTTCAAAACAATAGAGCATTAACGGGAATGAATTTACACAAATACACTCCAGTTGTCATTTCAGCTCTAAGAAAAAACAACCTTAGCCACCAGGCTATGAGGTTTTCCATTGTGCTGGAATCAGGGAACATGAATTCAGCAATAATCTGTTTCCTTTTACATGTTGTGGAGCAACTGAATGACTTTGAAAGTGTTCTTTTTTTCATTTTTGAAATACAGAATACTATGTAAAGGATACATTATGCCAATTAAATTCCATTTCTGAATGCATTTTCACTGTCCACATGATACTTTATTAGATTAGAAAAATCGGCCCAGTCCTGCCAAACAGTAATTGTACCACTTGTACACTCTTCTGTATCTAAGCTTATTGCAAAACATGTTATATGTATTTCCCCACAAGCTATTTGCAATAAGGCTTGCTTCACAAATGTCTTGCCCTGTAGTTCAGAGATCTATTCCCCATTCTTAAACAAAGGCTTTTATTACTATTCTTTTCTATTACTGTACTTTATGAAATTCTGTATTCAGATGTTTGGGTAGCTTGGTAAAACACATTCCAGCTCAGATACTTTACCCACTGCAAATAAGCGGCACATTTTTAAAAACTACTCAGCCATTTAGATATAAAAAAAAACATGACTCTCAAATGTAATGCTAACAAATAGACCTTGTATGTTTTAATCTAACCAGTTCAGCAGGACACTTTCTGTTTCTGCTTTTAACATTATAAAAAGTTGATGTTCCATATTACCATCTTTCAGAGGATAGGATAGCCTAGCGATTGTTAAGTTTGTATTGAAAAAAATAATCAATCCACGCAATTGTAAATTTGAAGTGTATTAGAAAAAGCCAATTCACTGGTACTTAAAATGGTTTGGCTTATTTAAAGCTAATGAACTTGCAAGATTGTTGCTGTTCTGCATTGGTATATTCATGGTTAAGTGCACTTAATGTTAGTTGCCTTGTACAACAAAAAAGCATCTACTCAATTAAATGTAATGAGCAAGCAAAATAAGTACATATGAGGATGTGAATATTGTTTGAGACAGCCTTGCAAAACTAAACCTATTCTTTAATGTGTCACTTTCTGTATACTTTTTGCATCCCCATGATTAGGATACAAGAAATATAAAACCTCTTCAATCTCAAATGAGCACTTTCAATTATGTGAACTGGGAAGAAAAATATGTAATGGGTCCAATACATGCTGATAATGCTGCAGTGGTCTTTTAATTCTTTTCGGAGCTGTATCTGAAAAAGTTGCAGCATTTGCACCAAAGCCAGTGTGCATTTGACGAATTATTTTTGGATTTGCAAGTCTTATAATAGTAGGCTATTACTCCTTTGGCTAAAACTAAATTAGAAAAGATTGACCTGAAAAAGACCAGGGTCGTTGCGTCCTCAATAGGAAAAAGGTCAAGCTTTGCGGTTTGCTCCACTAGATGGCGAGAAACACAACAGAATAAAAGCATGTACACCGAGGGGCTGTATGGCCTTGTGAAATGGCGTCCTGATGAGATGGTGCTGAAGTTATTTGCCTCGTCACCACCAGTGTAAAATAAATAAACCTACAGCGATGTTGCACATTGCGATGCATCATAATTGTATTAAAGTTAATGAACAACCCATTGTGTGTAACTTCTCACGGATGTTAATGAGGTCAACGCAACAGTTGACTGCTGATACGTTTCCGCATCGTATGCAGTAGCTTAACTTGATCAGGCTACTAGCGGTATGCTAGTTTAGCTTCCTTCACACCAAGATAACACTACAGCAGCAGATAAGAGGACGCACTTCGGAAGCTGCACACCAAACACTTTATACGAGCTATGTTTACGCCCCTCATCTGTTCACCGCCTCACTTGACTGAAACTAAAGAAAAGCTTCATGGGAAATGAAGTCATTACATAATGTCTTCCATGCAGCGGCGACAGCAGGGCGCTTTCTGGCTCAATACACTTCCCACAATGCACTGCGTTGTTGTTAGCGACCCCATCTTGTGTCCTCCTCATGAATATATATCAGTCAGTATTTGCGTAGGAGGTCGGCCGACGTTCATTTCATATTCCAGCACTGTATTTCGGTCCAAATGGGACGCACAGTCACGTCTCCGCCCTGATCTGTCCCCGCGCGCCCAGCCTCTTCCAAGCGAATTTCATCGGTAAAATGTTTGTTTGGAGCAGCGGAGGAGACTCCGACGGAGAAAGGAAGGCAAGAAGTGAATGACTACTAGTGGAATAAGTCAGCAACACCGCCCAGTCGGCGGATATTTACCACGGTGGGCACGCTTGTTACGGCTTTTAAATGTAGACGTAGGTGTAACCAAGTGCGCACCGTTATTTATTTAGAGAGGGGGACTTTTCATTGGCAGAAATGGAAAGTGTGCAGACTGTCGCTGAGGATGGTGCGTCGGATAGAGGCGCGACCAAGTTAATGAAGAAGCCCAGCGGACTGTCTGTCGCCCGGGGGACTCCAGCGGATGATGGCGGTGGACATTTGGCACCCTCCCGCATAGAGGCAAAGAACGGGAATAGCGTTTCTCATTCCGCCACTTCAGCGGGGTCTAGTGCGTCAAAGCGAACTGTGGCGTCTAATGGCCGGGGCTCATCCAACAACTCCAGCTCCCTCCTGTTGAGACGGAGACGCTTGAAGAGGAACCTCTCCGCCGCAGCTGCAGCCACCGCCACCTCAGCTGTCACCGCCGCCTGCGGCGCCAAGATGAACTCGGCCCTTTCCTCTGCGTCTCTGCACACTCGGAGTCTGGATCGGAAGACTCTGCTGAAACACCGACAGAACATGCAGCTGCAGCCCTCCGATCGCGAGTGGGTGAGAGCAGATCTCCACCGGGGCTCCATAC